TCTACCAAAGGTCAGATACCCTTGATCTATGTGAGTGACCCCCAATGCACGTGCAAAATACAAAAAGAAGAGGTGCCAAATTCGTACCCATTTCAGTAACTCGGTAATTACTGAGGCGATTTCGAACCAATGATGGACAATTGACATCTTTAAGCGGCCTTCGATAACAATGACTCCTATAACTAGGATTGGATTGAAACTAGGATCCTATAACTAGGAGAATTGCGACTTCGATAGTGATAACGCGATAAACATCTGTTGATGACTCGTAAAGCGATGACGATTCAATATGAAAATGTAACAGTGCGAAGGAAAAAGTATTTTTAACGCCGTTTACTTCAGCCGCTTAAGCAACATTTTAACCTTCCAGGCGGTGGGGGGTGGGGGGTGGGGGGGGGAACATGGGCTTAGTTGTATTCACTTCAAATAGGTACATGAAAACGGCAGCACATACATTCATTTATTCGGCACATATACAACGCGTTGCTTTTTGGTGTCATTGAGCCATCTAAGCTCTGAAATAACATCAATGTATGGTCGAGCTTACGACGGCCACTTACTACGCGAACACAGAAATTGATAAGCTTTGTATGCGCTGGAGTTGGGCTGCACCATGTGAATACCATATTTTGACTGTACGATCTTTATCTCATACGATCATTTGGCGTACGATCATTTTCCTTGACGACCTTTAGCGAATACGATCTTTTGTCCATACGAGCATTATGTCGTACGATCTTTATCCATTACGACTTTTTGGTATACGATCATTTTCCTTGACGACCTTTAGCGAATACGATCTTTTGTCCATGCGATCATTATGTCGTACGATCTTTATCCATTACGACTTTTTGGCATACGATCATTTTCCTTGACGATCTTTAGCGAATACGATCTTTTGTCCATACGAGCATTATGTCGTACGATCTTTATCCATTACGATATTTTGCATACGATCAACTGCCTACGATTTTCTGCCATACGATCTTCTGCTTTACGATCTTTTGTCCGGTTACCCTTGGGAAGTGACCAAATCTCCAGAGAAAGCCTTTGAATACTGGACAGTAAATGCTGCTATATCTCAATTGGCTTTATATTTATGGGAAAGTGTCATGGTTTGATTGCCTCTATCATCTCAAGATATCATGTGCACATTCAAAATTCATTCAGATGCTCCATAGTAAACAGCCAAAGCTGTGTCGATCAGTCGCCATTTTTACCTCCTGCGGCCGTCCGATATGGGCTGATTTTTACTATCAATCTCCGACGGAGCGATCACTTCACCAAGTGAAAGTCGTCATTGGAAAACTGTCCGAATCTAAGTCACGCCAGGAAAACCAACGTCAGATTGTGAGCTCCTACGGCTCCAGCAGATGTTGATACTCTTCACAGTTCGCTGACCATCTTCAAACAGTAAAGCTCACAACGGATGTCAGACTAGGCACACACATTTCGGATCGACAGGAAAGACTCCGATGTTTTCTGTCCGTTCATGTGGCTCATATGCGCTATTGAAAAAATGCTCTTAAATTAAATAATGCTTGAAAGTTTAACAAAGCGAACAGCTCATCGCTTTGAAGTCTTTATGGAAAATATCTTTTTGTAGTTGAACATGACTGTTTGTGGGCGACTGGCCTTTCGCTTAGCCTAAGCCCTTGTTGATAAGGGTTATTATTCTAATGTCGTCAAGTTTTGTTATAGCCAATCAATAGTAAGCGTAGATAGGTGGGTACCTATACCTACGTATGTACCTACCAAAAGTATACACTTTGGACTTTTATCAAATACACTTCAAAGAAAAAGTACGTACGATGGAGTGCACACTGCATAATATACGTACTTTATAGTGCCTCCCAAAGCTCACATAAGTATTCTAGAATAGATGAAATCATTTCATTCCAGGCCAGCATTGATCTTACCGATACGTCACTGGTGACTTCGACGAGCCTGTTCCGTTGATACCGGCTTTCTAATCTATGCTATATTTACGTTTGTCGACTTTGTTCTTGTCTTGCTGTTGAGATCACTAAAACAAGGAGTTAAATCCACAGCTATATGTATAGACCACCTGCTCTTGCTGAGGTCCTCTCAATGTCTACGAACGTCCTATGATGTACAAAATATTGCACTGCAAATACCAGATTCGTTTACCAAAGTAATCTTGCGTTTACCTTTCTATCCTCACCGGATTCCGTGTCTTTCCCGGTGCTGTCACGGATAACACGCCCGCCCTCACGGAGACAAAACTCCCACGACCGCCGTCCACGCCTCCCCGGCCGGTCAGCCCGCGCACGGCCGTCGAAATCGACTGAAGCGACCGGCGCGGCGGCTGGGCGGCGGCGGCGCGGCGGCGGCGGCGGGGGCGGCGGCGGCGGCGGCGGCACTGGCGCGTGCACCGACCGGTCATGCTGTGGGCGGCGGCGGCGGCGGCGGCGACCGTGAAATGATGTCACGCCCAGCGGAAGCCGGTCGGGGTGGGTTCGGAAATAGACAGCCGCTTCCGATGTTCACCGAAAGAGGCAGGTGATATAGGGATCGACTATCGACCTAATTATAAGACTTTTAGCATGTTCACTGATTCAGTATAGCCAGCAAAGTCTTTGTTGTGGTTGATATTTCCCAATAACACGCGATAATCTGCGATTTTACGCACTTCTTGCCTGAGGCCGTACCTCTTATAACGTCATAGCTCTGTGACCTGACATGACCCGGTCAATTATTTTTTCTTTTAAAGTTGCGCAAAGACACACCGTAGGAAATGCAAAATCTTGTCGCGATCTGCTGATCTGTTTAGCATTCACCTCAGAAAAAAACTAATAGGGGCTACATCCCCCCCATGCGAGGGTTGATTCAGACCGGACGTAGTAGGCCTGGCGGGGAAAAGGGCGCTATTACATCGGATTCCTCGAAAACAGGTGGTGATAAGAGGCTGAAATTTGGGCAACAGACGTTCAACTTGATCCATCCAAGACTTGACGCATCGCAAAATTATGAGTGAAGTCAATTCACTGACATCTTACGTTTGACCTTGGAGAACAAGAAGACTACCCACAACTGCAAGTGACCTAATCAAGGGTAAATAGTCATGGAATGGTCACGTTTTTGCCAACAAAGTTCAAAGTTTTCATATGATTTATTCCTGGATCTCGTATGAAATCAAATCCAAGTAGATAGACGTACGACAAATGCTCTAAGACGTCGTCGACGTCGACAGCTATGTGACACGTCGAAAGCTACTCCATGATTTCGAAGTCACATTTCGTCATTGAACCACCATTCTTCAGATTTCTGCCATTGAAACTACTATTTTGTTGTGTTGACTCTTAGCAATTATTTTTGTTTTTGACTTTTTGATTTGACTTTTTATCCTTTTGACTTTTAGCATCTTTGACTTTTTCCATTTGACTTTCTGCTTTTGACTCTCTGACATTTGACTTTTATATTTTTGACTTATAGGTAGCCTTTTTGACTTTTTTTGCATTTGACTTTATTAAGACCATGCCAATCTCGGCCAGTCTGCCGCCGCGCCGGCACTGGCCGTGGTGTGACGTCATCCAGCCGGCTCGGCGCTGGGTAGTTCCACACTTTTAGGTAACTCGCGGCCCGGATGGGTATGTTTGTACAGTACAAATTGTACAAGTACAAATTGTACTCCACCCTTCGGCGAGCCTTTGATCTTGTGCCGTCTGCCGGTCGGCGGGAGCAGCTGGACGGCAGGCGTGTGACCCGGTCGCTTTCCTGACCTGGACGTTCCAGTAGGCGAAATGTTATGAGAAGGCTACGCATTATATGTATGGAACAATACGATTTTGGGGTATAAAACAAAATGTCACAGCTTTCGGCTGTTACAGTCGCACTCGTTTACCGTTTGGAAGGGAAGGATAGGCGCTGAGAGCGCCCTCTGGATGGTCGCCGCTTGTCGCTCGGTGCTAAAGCCGCTGTGGCTACCGACATCTATAGTCCGACTTTGTGCTGCATACGGAAGACGGAGCGATTACTTCTGACTCAGCAACCACTACGGACATTTTTATCCAAGCATTTTTGTTGACAGAATATATGTTCAAGTTTAGCTTCGTAAAATGCCTAGAATCTTCGAGCTAAAAATCTTCGATTTGTCTCTCGTCTCTGCTCTGATGAAGCATGGTATCTTTCATTCCCTTATGACAGATTGAGATAGGTAACGTTGACATGTCCTTGTCATGCTCACGAGAATGGACGCGTTTTAGTTCCGAAGCCTCCTGCCGCTATTACCTCTAGCTTGAGCTGTTGCTAAGGGCACGTCCCAGCGACGGTCACGGCTGGGTCACGCGCTCCTCCAATCAGAACTCAGCTCGGCTGACCACGCGCGGTCAGCTGTCTGCTTCCCGGTTAGGGAAGGCGCGCGTGTTGCTATGGGGACTGGGACGTCCCTGTAAAGTGAATGGACTGGTGGGTTGGTTGTGAATGATTCGTGAGCGGTGAATCTTAGGTCGGTTCGTTGGCAAGTGCGAAGTGGAGTGGAACGAGACCTTGGCAGTGCTATTTTGTGAAGCGTAGACCGATTGTGAAGTGGAGTGGAACGCTGTTAGTGCGTCAGCGTGCTTCCGTAACGTAAGGAACTATTTGCAGTGATACAGAAACAATGACAATTGACAGGAGTGTTCTAATTTTGTGAAACACGAGCTAAAATTTACGTGGAAAGTGGAAGCAGTTTGCGCAGCTATGCACGGTCGCTCTCTCCATCGCGGGGATGCCAAACGGACTATACCTCCGAGTCAACACCGGTGATGTACCGATATTTGATTTTTTATCTTGTAATTGCGACGATAACTTTTAATTGCTCAGACGCTTGTGTCATTTTAAATGGAAACTAGGCTCCTGATTTTATTTTAGCCCAGAGAGTGGCGACCTTGTCTTTATCTTCTTTCGTATTTGTACATTACACTGCTAACTGCAAAATGCACATTTTTTCGAACCATCCTTCCTAAACAAACTGAAACTCAAAAAGCGACACACAGATATACAAGTTTACATATTTATTATTTACAACACATGAACTCGATATGAGCGTCAACAGTGCATGTCCATGGGTATTGCGGTCTCCATTGAGCAGTTCAATGTTAGCATGCTTTGAAAGAACCATGGCATTCTGCCGAATGCTCGCTTCATATGCCTAACGTTTACGAATGCAAGACTCCATCGTTCATTTCCATACTACCTAACCTTTACCTTTAACCTATTGCTTTTACACAAGGTGTGCCGAACTCACTTGAAACAAACGAGACAATGAGCATGTTATCCGTATGTCTATGAATATTTGGTTTGTGATTCTCTATGCTAAATCATGCTAATCGTTTTTGATCTAACACTCTATGCTCGTATCGTTTTTCTCTCTTGATCAATGGCTTTAACATCGATTTGTTACATAACAAAGTACATACCTCAGAAACAAATTGTTGCAATTTTTTACTTTGTCACAAGAATAGTTATTCTTTGTATTTTACTCATTATGCTAGGTTCCTGGCATTATAAAAAAATAGTTATCTCCACCCCGTGCCACTCGTTAAACTCTTGTCACCGTGTCCGCCCTACTCTTTGCTGACTTTGAGCGATCCGCGGGCGCGGCGCCGTTCCAGCAGCTCGATGACCAGGTAGCCAATCATGCCGACGGTCAGCACCGCGATCAGCAGGTCCACCTTGTGCCTCAGACACAGTAGCTCGGCGTTGATGAAGGCGATGGCGTATCCGAGCGACTCCCAGAGGCGGTAGTTGCTGAAGGCCGCCTCGGCCGTGTCCGGGAAGATGACCCCGTACAGGGCGTTGATCTGGGTCTGCCAGACGGCGTCAGCGGCGCCCCAGGCGGCCGCCACCAGGAAGAACCCGAGCGCCTCGTCGGGCCGCGGCAGCCAGTGGTGGAAGGCCGCCAGCGCGCCGTAGTTGAGCGCCGCGGCCACCAGGAACAGCGGCACGCGGCCCACGCGCTTGATGATGAAGCCGAAGCTGAATGAGCAGATGGAGTCGACGATGCCGTACACGATGAACACTAGACCCACACGGTGGATGCCCCACGCGCACGACACGAACGCCTGGGGACAACAGAGTGTGTCAGTCAAAAAGGAAGTGCCCAGCTATTTGTGGTGCATAAATACGCCGAAGAAGTTGATCACACAACGCCTGCTGGGCACTCGCGCTATTACTTTTCATACACTGTACCCCCTAAATGTATTCAAGTCACATCAATATCTTTCGTCCTACATTATGCATCAGCAATGACATACCTACCATACCACACCAATGAACCGCAGGCAGAAGGAAAGTGGTAGTCACATTCAAGAGAGCAGCATTACTTTAACCCGCGCACCGACGGGGGTCTGCGCCAACTTAGAACCGACGGGGGGGGGGGGTGAATGACCGCCCCCTCTGAGATCTCGAGAACGAAGCAAGATAGCGACAAGCGGTAAACGGCATGGGGTACGCACGGACAAGGTCTACAATTTTACTAAGGTCATTTTCAGGTCAGGTCAAAGATGACGTCACAGGGGTCAAAAAGTCAAAATGGCGGCGCTAGACATGGAATTTTTCTCGAATAACGTTCGAATTAGTCAAGCTATGAACAAACTAAGAGCATCGTCGTGATCCTCTCGTCAATTCGCATCGAATGATATATATGTTGACCTCGAAAGGTCGAGGTCAACGGTTGACCTCAGGTTACGTGACCTCGAGGTCATCATGTAATCATTCGATGCGCCTTGACGAGCTGAACACAATGAGACCATCTGCGTGGCTGTATCTCGTTTCTGTAAGGAGTTATTGGCAAAAAACCGTTGGTGACCTTTGATGACGTCACATGACCTTAGAGCTGGCCAACAGCAAAACAGGCCTCAACGTAGTGAAGGTTGATCGTATATGAAGTCATGTATGGTATATGGGGCCATTCCGACGCGTTTTAGTGGAAAAACAGGGAGTTGATTTTTCTCCCATTGACTTATAATGGGGAGGTCGAGAAATTGACCTGACCTAGGTCATCGATATCGAAACTCCGAGATAAACAAATTGTAGCTATCAATGAACTAATAACATCCTGCGACCTTCAAAGGCCTCCGTCATCTACTGTAGCTCTGACACTGTGACAAAGTTGCAAAAAAGTGACTTGAGGTTGGGTCATTTAAGGTGACCTGGTGACCTGACCTTAAAAGTTAGGAGGTTAAAACTTGCACACCCTGTGTAAAATTGATGAGAGAATAGCCGTACCAAATTTCGCCGTAGCGCCGCGGTTTTCCCGCTATCTACGAAAAACCTCAGGGGGGGGGGGCGGATATCCGCCCCCCTGTCGGTGCACGGGTTAACCCTCGCCGGTCGAGGGGGGCCGCCCCCCATAGGATTTTTTTCGCGATAGCTCCGAACACGTTGGGATAGAGAGCCGAAACTTGGCATACCTGACCTTTGATCCAAGCCGGATCTTTTGATACCAACCGCATTTTCGGGTCAGGTCAGGTCACTGACCTATGACGTCACAAGTGAACATCTGCACGATCTTCAGATGTCGCAACTTCGCAGCGCCTTCACTGCCAGAGGAGCTTTCACAGGGAAACGAAACTTGCAGGATCTAGTATCAATTACCCGTCTCACAACTTGTATATCTCGGATATTTTTCCTAAATGTCATATGAGGTTAGGTCATTTTCGTGACCTCACTATTATAAGTCAATGGGGAAAAATGAAAAGTGCTATTCTGGCGCCGGGAACGCTCTCCAACTATCTTTAAGCACACAGAATCGTGATTTCATGCACTCCTTGCAAGGTTCAATGCGTCACTTTTGCAATGTTGACCTTCGTCATTTATGACGTCATTAGGGTCATATTAGTTTTTCGTCAATAACTCCCGATCTGAGCTAGCGAGTCGGGAAAGCCACCAATGAACTCAGGAAGACCTGTCGAATCGAATGATATGCAATATGACCTCCTTCGATCACCTTCGTGACCTGGGGGCGCTGACCTGACAGTGACCAGAGGTCAACACCCTAAGTTGACTGTTGACCTCACCCAAACAAAAAGTATATCATTCGACGCGCCTGAGCGAGGCGAACACGATGCTGCCAAAATCGTGGCTCTGCGACCGTTTTTGCGAAGTTATTAACCAAAAACGGAACCGTGCCTTGGGGCACTTGACCTGATATCAGAGGTCACCGGCTGACCCAGGACCTTAAAATCGGGTATCAATCTCTGTGTCTCGTAACGACGCACACGCTCGTTTTTTCCGCGACGCGCTAGCTCCACCAGGGGTGAAACGGCGAGGGGGGTCGTACCCGCTCCCCCCCCCCCCCCTCGGTCGGCGCGAAGGTATGTAGAAAACCAATAGGTCCGGCGAGGGTTAACGATCCCTTTCTAATAGATTCGTCATCCATCCACCATTACCAAACCGAATGGATTTGGCGACTTACCTTGCTGAAGTCTGCCATGATGAAGGCCTGCTCGAAGCCGGACCACATGGTGAGCGGGATGACGAGCAGCTGGTACGGCTTCTTCATGTGGGTGAAGGTGGCCAGCAGGAGCTGCAGCGGCGGCGTGTCAGCCGAGGCGCGCTCCTTCTCACCGTACCTGCCGGTCGTGAGTGGTGCTGATGACGAGACGAGGGATAATTGGGACTGAGAGAGCGAAGGAAGGGTGGCACATTGGATAGCGTGATAAACGCTATCCAATGGTGATGAGGGCATCGGTGGTGATAAAGCGCGGAACGCCAGGGATGTCAACAGGCCCCGAGCAATCAGCGGTTATAGACTTGTATAGATGGATTTTGTTTTAGCGGTTTGTTATGCGTAGATCAAACACGACCGATTTCCCTGAGGAGGAATGATGGTGATCTCAAACTAATCAGCTGTTGTGGCCTGTGGGGTTGTTACTTGTTGATTAAACAATACATATCGAATCACCCATTCCAGGAATGAGTTGTTCTGACAGAGCTTACATAAGGACAGAGTTCGTGATGTTTTCTCAGTCTCAACCCGGTTACCGAAACAAAATCACCATTCGATAAAAATAACTGTAAGACCAGGGCCGGTAGCCCGTTCTCCCGGTCAGCAGCTTCAGTATCCCGTTGACCTCACCTGTCCAGCTTGTCGAGGGTGAGGGCGATGAAGCCACTGCAGGCGACGGCCAGCGCCAGGAAGATGCCGGCCATCGTGTAGATCTGGCTCTCCGGGGGGCGCTCCAGGTTCGTGTTGTTGGACGCCGACTGCGAGAGGAGAGTATCGATCAGTGGGTACTGTGAGCGAGCACACTCGGTAACCTAGCGAGGTGGTGACCCACCCATCTCGGAATCGACACCGGAATCAATAAAGTTAGGGCGTCCCTTAAAATCAAAACTTCGTCCTCAACCCGAGCGACTCACTGAAGCCATTCGTTGGTCGGAAATGATACGCCAGCCATCAAGAATCGCCTTTGTCTTCACAGTGGATTGAGGCATCTCCATTCTCCTGTAAGCGTTTCTTTTAAGGCGGTAGGTAGAAAAATGATGGCTATCCCTTACCTCTATACCGGGGCAGTAGTTGATGCCACATATGGCCAGGCTCTCCTCTGACGGAACGGCCTCCAGTTGCTTGCCACCCGGAGATAAAACTGTGACGAGATAATACGATATTCGCTTAGTGGTATTACGAACACTACATTTTCTTTTAAAAATGTCGAAATATTTACATTTTATCTTGTTGACCTGCCTTAATTAGCCTTGCAGGCGTCAGCTTGTGTTATTTGTTATTGCTTTATTTACATTTTAGCCTTTATAAATAAGAAGGCGGAAAAGAAACGATGAAACATACCCGAGCACTTGTTGCAGATAATCACTACAAGCTGACAGACGTCGTATCGCGATTCGCGTATGCAATATGCATCGTATTAATTAAGACTAACAACGTTTTTGCTGCGTTTTCCAAACAGCGAAAACATACCGAGTGATGAGATCAGATTGCCCCAAATCTGCGCCGATTGGAAGAAAAGGAAGAAGATGCCAAAGAACTTGACGATGACAGGCTCAGAGTCCTCCCCGATGATTTCGGCATGAATGCGCCCAACCTGAAAAAAAAAACGTTACATTAGTGAGCATTAACGTTGTAAAGAAGGCGTGGGAGCATGCCACGCATTTTTTACTTTGCAGTAATGAATAATGTAACATAAGTTAACGTTTATTAGGACAAATTATCTCCTTTTATAGCATTTGTTTTTCAGTGATAGCTTATAGTCTGACCTTTTTATAGCAGCAAAAGGATCTAAAAAGACATTCAGCGAGAACTATCTACCCATCACGCACATTTCACCGATGAACGCAGCACTGGCCACCCCGCCTGCCCAGTGACTAACCTGTGTGAGGTAGGTGCACTTGGCCGACCACATGGGTGCGGCGGCCAGTCCGAGCACGATCGCACCCGGAATCATGGTGAAGGGCCGCGGGTAGAACTGGGCAGCCAGGTAGACCGAGTAGAGCAGCGTGCACACCACCATCGTCCACTTGCAGGTCAACCGTTTGATGACCAGCGAGGGAAGGAACAGACAGGACAGGATCAGAGCCAGGTATACGGCCGCCTGACTCATGGTGCCCACGCCTGTGGGAGGAGAAAGAGCGGGAGGGAAGAGAGAAGTCAGACGAGCTGCCATGCAACTATGTTGGGAACGGAAAGCTTTGTGCAATACAAAAGCTCTCGTAAGTAATAGTTAGTTAACTCACATAAGTTGCCGATACAGATTAACAGAATGAAGTGCCCTGTTTTGATGGGAAACTGTCACATCGCAGACGCTATGAAAAAGAAACTCTAAATCAAAGAGTTTAATGCCATCTTAAAATGTTTGACGGCGCACATCTACTTAGCACGCCACGTAATCGTCCTAGCATTAATTAATTAATTACTCGTTACAGTCACAATGCACGATGCCTACCTCCTTCTGAGTTGATGGAGCTTTGGAGATTCGAGATTCCCTGGAACGATGTGAAGAGGCACATGAAGGCAAATGAGATCGCCACCACGTTCTTGAGAATCTTCCAGCGCTCGCGACGCTCGAATTTACCAGCTGAGGTAGCCACATGGTTCTGAGCCTCCTCAAGAGACATCGGATCGGGCTTCTTGCTGGCGACCTCTGGCGGGCTGTCAGCGACCTCTGGTGAGCGGTCGGCGACCTCTGACGCGGCGGGGGGAGACGATGCGCCCTCCTCCGGCTCGAAGGCGGCGTTGTGGGCTTCCTCGTGGGGCGGCATGATGGCGGTGTGGTGTTGGGTCAGCGGTCAGGTCAGGTCAGCGGTCAGGTCGGGTCAGGTCAGGTCAGGCAGGTCGGGCGCAGCCGGGGGATGAGCGCGGAGGGAGACCGCCGTTGGAGGCGCCGGCTGATGGTGGAGTTAGCGTCCACGCGGCTGCTGCAAATGGAACAAACGAGCTGTCAGAGTACGGCTCTAGCGCAGCGACGCCGCAGAATGTCAACAGCCAGGACCCTGATGCACACTTATGATTAATGATACATTTTATACAAAGCACATGCCGATATGAACCAAAACCAATAATGTAGATACAACCAAAATGATTAAACACAAACGCAGCGTCCTTTATCACACGGACGACCATACGTGTTCCAAGAAGCTCCCTATAGAGCTGACAATAGCCTTCACTAGATGTAACTATGTACATAGTACATACCTACTTATCACTGATTATGTATTTTGGTAGTCATATGTAAGCGCGTTTTGCTTCCGCGTGCTTTCATCGAGATGGGGACAAATCTACGCAAAATCGAGTGATTTCACTGCTTCTATACGGCTTTGTTCGCCTCTCAGAATAAGCAGATTCACCTTTTTTAAGTGACGAATTGAATAAGGATTGTGGTAGGAAGCGATTTGAGCAATATTCATCGGGGATAATCTTTTCACGCGAAGTAGAAGAAGAGAAAGCCAACGATTTGCTTATCAATAATGTAAGGTGCTCTTCACTAAGAAGTGCACATATTCTTCCGTTTTACTGTCTACGGCGACAGTTGAGTCGTTTTAAAGATGGTAACCGATGGCGTTGAATTTCTCTTCGCATAATCTCGCTTGGAATGGAGCTTACCGGAGATTAGAATGTGCCATTGCCGATTATTGAACACGGACGAGCAGAGAATATTGTCATATGCCACTGCTCGTTAGGTGCACTTTCACATCTTTTGTGCCAAACTATACACTTGGAGAATGCGTGGCCTGCGTTACCTATTCCTGCTTCCAGCATGACTTACGCAAGGTTGGCTGTCATTCAAATGCACCGCCACTGCCAAGTTTCACCTCGCACTCTTGCAAGCCCCGTGGATGAGTCCGTCCAAAATCCCTTCGATCTCATATCTCACAGCGTTTTCCAATCTTACGCTGCCTACCGCCTGCATAACAAAGCAAACCGTGTCCTCGCCAATGACAGGCTCTTGCCCACCGCGGAGGTGTACGCGGCAGTTGGCGGAGGGGCCGCGGGCCTCTGTGATTGACGCGCGGCTACCGTGTCCACTGTCGTCCCCGTTTACTGTGCCTGCGGTGGGCTCGCGCGTGGCCGGTAGGTCGAGGTCACCCGGCCTGACCGGTCCGCACGAGTTTAGCAGAGGAGAAAGGGGATGCGGGAGGGAGGCAGATCGCATCGCGCTCTCAGCCTCGGATCTGCCGTTGTCAGACTGAAGGATGTTGGCAGACAGGCGGTACAGGACATGTTGCGAAAGGAGGAGGAAACTGCGTAATGGGCAGGTGCTAGCAGCTTAGCGCGGACGGCTCGGGTTCGTTAACCGGAGCGGGTGTCGCTAAGTTGATGGTGGTGGAACAGATGGTTCGCCACTCTGCCTGCGCTAAACCTACACTGGGATGTTTTTCTGTGCGAAGCACACTTAGGTGGGTGTTGGACTACCAGTAAGACGCCTTTTGGGGCGATAAACGAGCGAGCGTGAATGTAAGCCCTACACGTGCGCTAGTGCAAGAAAGTAGGTACCGTAAACCGGGGTGAGTTGATATGGGGTGGTGAGTTGATATAAATTGCTCGAAAAATGTTAAAATGTGTGCTGCTCATCCATTTGTAAACCAATTTTCAGTTTTCTTTTTTTGTGAAGTGAAGCAACCAATAAGTGATGCATATTGCTGAGAAAGGCATGCATGTGGTGCAGTGCCTTCTTAACACATTACTTTTTTCAAAGTCCTTTTTTTCTTCTGATTTTGAAACTAAGGAAAAGTCCCCACCCTACAGCAGAGACGGTGGATATTCATGGAACAACATGCAGTGGGAAAGAATCTACCATCAATTTCCTGTTGATCCCAGGTAGTTTTGGGTTTCACCTATAACAACGCTTTTTTATAATTTTAAGAAAAGTGACAGGTGGTGAGTTGATATGCCATCAAGTGGTGAGTTGATACGCATGATAAGGGCTGATACCAGGCTGGTATGCATGCAAATTAGCATGAAATATGGGTCTGCAGGTAAGACAAAGTCAATTAGACCAACTCTTCTCCTTTTCTCTCCCCACATCACCCCAGCAACCCCCAAAAGCTTTAGTTTTTCTGAATTCATGAGACGAGGTATCACTGATGTTAGTTGTCGGACTTTCGTCCCCGTCTTGAGTTGAGATGTTAGTTTCACAACGTTTCAGCCAGTAACTTCTCTGGCGGTAGTCATATCTGCCTCGATAGTGGAGTGCTTAGAACCGTGGACCATCACCGGGGAAACCCGAGTTCGATTCCCGCTGACTACAGGAGCTTTCGAACGGTATGACGCGTACGGCGCAACGCCACCAACATCCACGTCCTTCTGAGGGTCAAAAAACACCTGACGACGGCCGGAGAGTAACTGGCCGATACGCGATTGCGAAACAAACACCTCAACTGAAGACTGTGACGAAGGTCCGACAACTAACATTAGTGACCCCGAAGTGTTTTTTTTTCTGTGGACATGCCTAACATGCAAAAAGGCACAGCACAACTCCCTGTCAAGTCACAAGATGGCTCCCTACAAGCTACAAAGGAACACTATAGAACACCTATATAGTATATACATACATAGATATTAAAAAATGTTATAATAATCCGTAATTCGAAAAAACAGCACTGTCGTTTCTGTATGGCTAACAGCGCGGGAATTCTGATCTCGTGAAACTGATTAGTTTTCTTGCTTGGCAGTTACCAACCGAGAATGAGTGACAAAATGAAATGGAACAAACAACATAAAGAAATTGACTGGTGTTTTAACCCTCGCCCGTATTCGTGTTTTGCCAGCGTCTAACGTATAGGGGGGGGGGGGCCGTTGGAATCCCATCGTCGTTTGGCCCCTGATGGAGCTAGAGCTTCGCGGAAAAAAACGAGCGTGTTGCCCGAGACGCGAGGAAGCCGATGATAACCAACTTTAAGGTCCTAAGTCATTGGTTAACCTTCCAGGTCAGGTCAATTACCCAGAAGTCTGGAAAAAAGGGGGTTATTTGAAGTTCGTAAAGCGAGGTTGTTATTATTTTTTGGGGGTTGCTGATCACGAATGTCATGTTAGTTTTGATCACAGATGTCTTCGTACATTTAGGCCAGGTCAGGTCACGTCAGGTCAACCAGTAGGTGTCCTGCCGGCTATCCGTAGGGAGTGTCAAGTGTCAACTACCACTGACGGTGTCGTAACATGTTACGAAGGCACTAAAACTACTTCGCAAATGATCAAATGCATGTTAAATTCGAAATCGGCCCGAAAAAAAACTACCCTAGGAACATGTAAAACTCCAAAAAGTGAACCGAGGTCACCAAAGGTCAATAACCTGACCTGACCTTCAGGTGACCTTGACAGTTGACCCCACAATACTGCATGGGACCAACATCATTTCACATGTTTGGACGTTACAATCACAAAAAGACTGGAAATGCGCGGATAATGTGAGATGACATACGCCAAATCGCGATTCCGGCTAAGCATGGTCTCGAGAATCAGGTAACAAGTCAAAAGCCATTTGGATCAGGGTCATGAAATTTTTAAAACATGTGTAAAATTGATAAACTCGAGAGTTACTGAAAGTTTCGTCGCGATCGGCCGCTTTTTGCGCGAGTTATGTGCGAAAAGCCGAGGTGGTCCGTTCGACCGCCTATAAGTGCGAGGGTTAATTTTGTCTTTTGATGCCGAATTTTGTTTTATGTCGCTTATTTCACCTGATGGAATACAGTCCGAATTAGATTCGCTTCACTTCACTTCATTGACATTTTGTTGACTACCAGCCAACAAAAGCTCAGAAGCATATGTATTCTTTCATTTCAATCCATTATCTCTGTAAGAGGCATATCAACCTTGACCCGCAACTGACAATGTGTTTTAATTACAAGAAAATACACTTGTAATTCCAAAATATATTGGTAGTTTTGATACCGTTGGCTTGAGGACACGTGACTAGCTAAGTTCAGAATGTTCTAAGTAAAACTAAGCATCATAAAGCAAAAAAATGATGCTGCTTAAATCAAGCTATTTAGATAGCGCTGTGTTGGACATGATTGCGTTTTCATGAATGTGAGGTCTGCTGCCAAACTACTACCATTTTTCTGATGGTTTCTTTCAGGATGTGTTCTCTCATCCTTTTCTTAAACACTGGCATTTTATCAACTCACCTCTGAGCTTCCTTAGCCGAGAAATCTTGATAAATCCAAAACCATATCAACTCACCACCCCCCAGGGGGTGAGTTGATATGAACTTTGGCGTTTTAAAAAAGGGGCTTAGTATATACATTTTTTATTCATTTTTGCTGATTGCCTCCCCAAGGCATGTGCCATGAAACTGGCACAAAAAGAATTCCGTAAATGAATGTGGCTTTTAAAGAAATATAGAAAAACCTCAAAATCCATATCAACTCACCCCGGTTTACGGTACTCCCAACTGACTTGTGCATGGCTACCGGTCTCTTGCCAAATTTGAGTGCCATTGGTCGAGTCGTTCTCCCCAGTTCCCTAGTCACCGTCCCCAACAGTGTACCAAGTTGGAGCGCAACCGGTCCAGCTGTTCTCCAGATCCGGAAGCGACCCGTGCACGTGCGCACGTGCAATATCACCCCAACCGTAACACATGGAAATACATGTCACGGCGGATGGTTGCCCACATACCAAATTTCAGCGTCATCACCCCAGTAATTGCTGAGTTATGGTAGGATGGAAACAAACTCGACACCTCTTCTTTTTGCACATGGCAGGTGCAGGACTTGAGGTTGGCAATGACTGTTTCTAAGTAATCAGCGGGGTTCTTCCTGACGAGTAACGTATATCGGTAGCTAGAACAAATAAAGTTTTAAGAAGTACTAAAATTAAATTGATACTTCTTAACTGATCAACTTTCATCGTAGGTAGCTGATCGTTAAAATGCGGGATATTCCATGACTAATTCATTTCTAGGTTATTTTAATGCTGCAATTATTTCACAGTTGATTACCTAATGCTATCCTTTGTTCCAATATAGCGTATTTTATGTCACGGTATGACTTGCGAATTCCTAACGCCTATTTTGGTTTTTGTTTTGTCAGTCTGTATATTGTGATATAATCACTCCGCGCGGAGTATAAGAACCGGTTCGGGAGAGCCTGACCTTGACCGACCAGCGGATTTATGAGCGAGTCATGTGGTCAGATGGCCATGGACTGGTTACGGACTCACCCTGCAGCTCCACTTCATGGGCGAAAGGGATTTAACCCGCGCCGGGCCGGTGCTCTGAGATTCCGCGCCGGGCCGGGGGGGGGGGGGGTCTGAACACCCCGCCTTCTAACTCGACTCCTGGGCCACGTAGCGACACGCGGTAAGCGGCAATCGAAAGAAAGTCCAAAATAAGGACGAAAACACTTCAGTCATTTTTTGGGTCAGGTCAAAGGTCAGGTCACCAGAGGTCACCAAAGGTCAAATGTTCACTATTTCAACATTTTGGAAACTGCCAATGGCTATCTCGGAAACCGATAGGGCTACAGCGCCGCGGAAAAGCGCATTCTATAGCCCTTTTACAGACCTTTCTGAGTGATATCCTCAGATTTGACCTCAGGTCAACGGTTTAGCCTCCAGAGGGCAAAAACTCCAAAAATAGCCGTTTTTACGAAAAACGTTTTTTCGGCAATAGCTTTTGACTCAAAAGAGCCATGACATTACTTTTGCCACCATCGTGTTCCTCTCATCGAGACGCGTCGAATGAACTATAATTTGACCTTGAAAGGTCAACTTAAAAATTTGACCTCAGGTCAAGGTCATGACCTGACCGGAAAAGGTCATGTTGCATATCAGTCGATCCGCAACGCTGAGCCGAACACATCTAAGGCGTTTTCAGCGCTCTAGCACGTCTCTATCAGAAGTTATTAGCGAAAAACTGTTAGATTCTGTTCGTGACCTGAGATGACCTCGGGGACATAACGAGGGGTCACAGTTGCTATTTTCCGGTTCAGTGTGTCCATTTTACCTACACCTCGATGTTTGAGAGTGTCTAGAATAGCGTTCTTGCAAAACAGACGCTTTTCAATTTTCTCCCATTGACTTATAATGGAGAGGTCGCAAAAGTGACCTGACCTTAGGTCACCGATATCAAAATTCCGAGATATACATTTTATAGATAATGTTGCTCTTATCAATCGCTGAAAGTATCAAGGCAATCGATCAATCGGTGTAGCTATGACGAGCATTCTTATTTTTTCTGAGGTGAGGTCACTTGGCGTGATCTGGTGACCTGACCTAAGGTGACCTGGGTCTGAAATTTTCACAACATGTGCGGAAAAGATGCACGAACAGTTGTGCCAAAAACGGCGGCGCTCCCCGCCGCCGTTTTTGAGATATCTGCGAAAAACCGCAGGGGGGTGTTCAAACACCCCCCGGCCCGGCGCGGCTTAAACGCAGTGGACCAGAGCAGCCAAAACACTGTATGAAAGCTTGCAGGACGTATTATAGTGTAAAACATACGTGTAAGCACTGCACATTTTTACCGGCCATATGATTTTGCGGTAACACGGCTGATTTGTATTCAGCAGCTTTTCATCGGCCATATTATTTGCAATGATGCAGCTGATTTGGTAAATCTAGAATGCCGCGTTTAGACATTCCCTAAAAGTTTTCTTAATTTCGAAAAGTTCCCAGCCTGTGCCTAGTGTAATATTTTTCCGCCAGTTAATTGCCACTTTTTTGCGGAATAGATGGACAATTTTAATCATGTAGAATGCCGCGGGATTTTGGCTTTCATGAAGCCCACTCGATACGTTTATCAGTAGAAGGCAGCAGGCTGGCAAAATGTTTTACTTGCAGTTGGTATCAGTATCAGCTAGGTCAATGTTTATTCCGTGGCCTGGTTGAAAGGCCTAATCGAGCACAGGTGAGTGAATCAATTGAAGGGACTGGGTGATACGGATCTTTTCTCTTTTGTAGGTGAAGCTATTTTTTTCACCCCCCCCCCCCTCCTCCGAAGTTCCCGTCGGCCGGTACGAACCAGAACCTGCATAGCACGCCTCACTTAGCAATTAAAGGGACTATCCCACCTTCTAAAATGTTGCTAAAACCAGTTAAATTGTGCCCGACTTTAAAGATTGGATGACCAGGAACACGGTTCTGGCATTTATTTTTCATTAAACATCTTAGGCTTCCCATATTCCAAACACAAACTTTCAAATATGTGACGTCACAGCCCAAAATTACCTCCTTCCCCAGGCCACATTACTGTCATAAAGCTGATTCTTTTTACTCTGTAGGCACCACAACAAAGTTCAGACCAAGTTTTAAGCGATTTTTCAACGAACAAACCCATTTAAATCAGAATGCCTAAACGAGGTGACGTCACACTAACGGTCGCTCCATGTTGAAGATAGGGCCTTGTACAAGGCCCATTTTCAAATGAAGGGAACGAATTTCTTCAACACCAAGAGGCCGCGGGGGTTGCAACCTAGATAGATAGTGGTTTCTGAACCTCGCCGCAAACTTGGCTATCTCAACTCAAACCCCATGTTAAAGGTGGGATAGTCCCTTTAACAATGCGTTCATTCAAAACATTGCAGCTATAGATAGCGATCCGATTAAATAGGCACATATGACTAACTATGTCATACCACTCCGCTCTTTGCATATGAAAAGGCAGACAGACATAAAAACGACACGGCAAGCAGCTTGCCTGGCTTTGTCTCACTCATCTATCCTATGTTTATCTCGCCGGCCTCTGAAATGGCTGTCCTGTGACCTGACCTGGTCGAATTTTGACCTGAGACCCTGTATCACCTGTGTAGCTTGGCTGCGCTATCAGCTGGCTGCACCATGATCTGAGATCTCTGTCTGACCTGTGTGGCCCTGTTACGCTGTGACCTGGCTGAGTTGTGACCTGAGGCTTTATGTCTCACCTGTGTGACCTTCGCTGTGACCCAAGGTCTCTGTCTCACCTGTATGTGGCCCGACTGGGCTGACCCGCCGTGCCCGCTGTGCCGCTGTTCGGGTCGTCAGACCACCACCCGTTGTCAGTCGTCCGGTCCACCTCCCAGCCGAGACTGAGCAGGGAGATGGGAGCCGTGATCAGCCTCTCCGCGCCGCGCCGGGCGGAACGCACTCCCGCCAGAGGGAGGCCGAAATCTCCCCCCCCCCCCCGTGGACTGGAGGTCGGCTCGGCATCCGTCTTCGAAAGGACTGTCCTTCGGGACCCTTCACATCACGTCGAAATCTCACCTTATTTGTATGGAGGACGGTTTCGGTGTTGGCTCACTAGCCCTCGCGGGCCCGGGGGGGGGGGGCGTTTTTCGCCCCCTGGCGAATATTTGCGATAACTCCCGAACGCTGAGGGATAGGAAGGCGAAACTTTCAGTACCTTTTCTCCCATCAATTTGACATCTTCTGAAGTAAAAAATTTGGACCTAGCCCCCTTGATGACGTCACAAGGTCCATTTTTCTAGACCCCTGCACGGCAAACTTCGGCGTCACAGACGCAAACTTCAAATAGCTGCTAAAAATAGAGTTTTAGAGATAAAGACAAATTACGAGCACGGCTGTGTAGCGTTTGACCTAGAGAAAAATAGAAAAAATAGTTTTGGTGACCTGAGGTCAGAGGTCAGGTCAACGACCCCGAAATGTGGTTTTAGTTTTTCGCAAATAACTTCGACAAAAATGGTCCTAGAGCTACGGCAGTGGTACCATCGCATTCGCCTTGTCAAGCCGCGTCGAATGATATATATTTTGTTCGGAAAAGGTCAAGTTTCATGTTGACCTCATGTGACCTCGAATGACCTCTGGTTGACCTTGACACATGAAAGGTCGATTATGATGGATTTGTACCCGCTGATCACGAATCTGGCATCTATTTTCCTCTAAGCCTTCATTTAGAGCTTCCGGATAGCAAAATTGCCTTATTTATTATTACTAGCTTGCATCAGTGAAATAGCCTCTAGCAGGGATACTCTTCTGTGACCTTGACCTTTGAGCAGCCCTGTATCGTAAGATGAACCACAAATAGGGAACTGATAAGCCTCAAAACATTTCAAAACATCTTGGAAGTTAGCACGCAAGATGTGCGAAAAAGTGCCAAGTTTGAGGTCAATTTTGAGCGTGACCTTGACCTTGACCTTTGATTTGGAGCACATTTTCAGAATCCTCTGATTCTCTTCTTTCATTTGACACCCAATTTTGTCGGTTTGATGCAGCCTGCCGTCCTCTAGAAGGCTTACTTTGAGATCACTACACATGTGCCGGTTTTGGCCTTTGACCTTGACCTCTGACCTTGAAAATTGATCTCAGGTCAAAAATTTTAGGTGCATTAGAATCGTCTCGTAAGGACCTTTCGTTTGGTATCGCTTTTGTTTCCGTAGCTCCCTTATTTACGGAGTTAGACAGGGGGGGGGCGAAAAACGCCCCCCCCCCCCCGGGCTGCGGTGGTTGGGACTACCCCCCGGGCCCGGCCGGGCTAGTATTGATCGATGAGTCCCTAGCTCATTTGGTTAGGAAGGTTTTTCTGTAAAAGATAGACAGCTGATCAGTTTTTCGTCACAAAATTTTTATCTATCGAGCTAATTTTAAGGCCAAGTGAGGTGTCGCATAGAGTATTTATTTCATGTTTCGTGGCTTTTTAGAGCACATATATCACTGATTCGAGCACCAACGTAACTTCATTGATATAGGATGTTTTGAGTTTTGATACAAATGTTAACTCGTGAGATAGCGTGGCCCTGAAACAGCAAGGATATTTAGTCATGCAGGCTTACTAGCAAAACAAATTTCCATACAAATACAGTCAATAAATTTTATTTACCTGTCAATGGACCCACTGAGCCAAGAAATGTCTACACTGTCTTTTGGCAGAAGACCAGAAGACACCCACCGATGTACGATAGATGAGTCGGCGCTTTCTCCCGAATCCGAAACACGCCGATATGAGCCGGCAGTGAGGTCGCGTGTACGCGCTACGCACGCAGTCACCGGTTTTCCGACCTGTGACCGCAGCGACGGCAGAACCCGTTCCGAGGTCGGTCGACAGAATCATCTGATCTTTCCTCTGCCCTGCACGGCTCCTCCGAGTAGAGGTGAATGTCCGGGGTCTGCTGATGGGCGCCTGTGTGCTGCTGAGTGCTGATGTTAGCATTATGCTAGAGGTGTGGATGTGCCAGCTTAGAACAACGCACAACGCAGTCAGAATTGTTAAAAAGTTTTTCTTAAGCTATCTAGGACAAAATACAAGTCAAGATAGCCAGGTATCTCCACCACATCAGACAATCTAAGCATGCACGATTCGACCACGTTCGGTTCGGCTATGTCAGTGACAGGTAGTGGAAAAAGAGTTTCCCCTCACCGAATCGGCCTTTTGAATTCGATCTCAGTTTTGTGTGAGCGGGCACCACATAGATGCCAGGTAGATAAGAGCTCGAATACGAGCTCTTACCTCTTTTAAGCAGAAGACTCTTCCAAGAGCGCTTTCAGCGCCGCAGTCAACTTTACGAGCCTTCTGGAGTCTGTAGTCTTAGAGCTCGCCACCAGGGTGCGGGTCTGGCGGTATTTGGCTCAGCTCGTGCTCGTCAATGTTCAGAGCGGTCCTCCACGACCCACTCAAGGCTCACCGAAAGATGTTCGTGGTCGTAAGCGGTCTGAGGCTGGCGTATGACCTGAATATGGTTCGTGGAAAAGTAATGGAGTTCCCCTCACCGGATCGGCCTTTTGAATTCGATCTCAGTTTTGTGTGTGCGGCCACCACATAGATGCAGGTGGATAAAAGCTCAGTCAGTCAGCACGCGAATTTCGTTAGTTGCGGCACAACAAACGATCATTTATGTGCAGAATATCAAAGCATTTGAGTGTTGTTGACAGTGAATACATCTTGGCAACATTTCTTTGTTCTCACGACTCTTCAGTCCCGTTTCTTGACATTCTCATCATTTTCCGGGTCAGACGGTAGGCAAAGGTAAATCGGACAGAGGAATGTTGCCGGCTAACTTCCCTGGCGCTTGGACCGTTGTGATAGCCAAGGAACCGTTCTAGAGACTCGTTGATATAATTTCATTGCGGGTGCCAGAGTAGGCACGGTGATAATTGACCACCGATCAGTGCTGGTGACCTATGGTGACCTAGGGTGGCCTATGGCTATGGTGCACACTGTGGGTCAGTGGACGGGAGCTGTCCCGGGGCAGATTTTACCTATCTCTAATGGAAATCACTGAATTCACATGTTCACTGATGATGATAGGTGAGACTGTCCACGCCAAGTGACCTCTATGTCGACTGAGGGGGAGGCTCGTCCAACGGCTGCTATATAGTTTACTTCTTTCCAATCAAAACGTTGCCGAGAAAATTTAGCCCAGCTTTCGAACTTGACGGCTGACCGTCACAGCCTCGACGGTAACCAGGAGGATATTGCTTCGATACACCTTTCTAATTCTTTCTGGCGACCCTTGTCGCGATGATCATGTGGCCAAACACTTATCACGGTCAAGACTCCGATCAAACACAATATGCAATTTCGACAAAATTATGGGGAGCTCATTTGATCTGACGCAGTTTAAAGCAGAAGCAACTTATCATTAACCACACAATCCAAAATAAATAAAGACGAAGTCATTTACAATTCACCGTTACAATACTGTCTAAAACCTTGGCACTGTGCACAGTAATAAATAGGAACCAGAGCACCGCATTCGATTGCGATAAACGGCAGCGGTGAGCATGTGGTAAACCGCCCGTCTTAAGGATCCAGCCGTGCTGCCAAGTTACCTGGTGGCGCCCGCTGCCCAATCAAAGTGACGTGCCGAAACCGGCGCTCCATTTTCCTGAATTAGCCCAATTGAAGTCATCGCCTGTCACAGAAAATTGATGGCGCCGCCATATTTGTGTCTCGGCGGCGGGCCCGGAAGCCGATTGTTCCCGTTTGTGTCGGCCGGTCGGCACTTTGGACGGCCGTGCCGCGCCGGTGGCCGCCGAGCCCCCTCGGTGTCACAGGTGCTGCTGTGTCGGGGGTCATCAGGTGTCCATCACCGTGTCACCGCCGGTGTCACAGCCGATGTCACAGCCGGGCCATGACGCATGGTGTGCGTCGCGTGAGGCGACCAACGGTCCCCCATACAGACATCCGGCACGACTTTTAGCGCGGCCGACCAGAGGAAAACGGATGCGGGAGCGCGGTGCGGCCATCGCCGCCAGCCTGTAGTGAAGGACTGGTGACGTCTGATGGGACAGGCAGAGTGGAGCGCTGGGGTTTTCCAGGAGTCGGCCGGCGCTCACTGCTGTCACAGACTGGGCTATAGTGGGCCGGGTAGACAGGCCCGCCGCCGCCGCCGCCGCCACCACTCCAAAACAGACAGTCTGAGGAGCGGGGACAATTAGTCGAGCTCTGGGATTTTTTTTGTGAGCGGCTGAGCGTCCAGGTGCCAGGCACCGGCCGGCGGAAGTGTAACGCGTTGAAGCTGGTTCGATGTGAAGCACCTGCTTGATAACGGTGTATGGTGCTCGAGCGATGCACATCTGTAAGACTTTCCGGTGCGCATCTTCTGGGAAATGAGAAAACTTGACGTGTTTTTGCTCTGATAATGTTAGAACTGAATTATGTGAATACGAATTAAGAGCATCACGGTTAGCTTTCTGATGTCAGCGGCTGATCGAGCATCATTAAACCATGAAGAGAGAAGTGTTTATCATGGCTGGAATGGCGGCTCAGTAGAAGGTCAGCGGGTTCTTGTTCCTGCAACATCTCATTCTACAACGTAGGCACTGCTGTCGATGACGCTTTGCCAGCTCAATGAGATCCAGTCAGACCAGTTCATGTTACTGGCACTTGGAGCTACCCCCACCAGCTGGTTTTTATCTGCCTCATATGCTTGGCGTCTGTTATTTGTCCCAAGAGGCTGCAGGTCTCAGCTAGTCTGCTGGTGCCTTGGATCTTCTTATGGCATGGGTGACGTCTAGCGATGCAAGTATGGGACACGCAAAGCTGGCTTCTTCCTAGACTTCATCTTTACTGTTGCGTGAGCAACAAAATCATGTCACCTGTGATTAACCGAATCCTAACGAGCAACTTGTGTTTTATTTATGCCTATCGATGTAGGTTATTAGTTATTACATATTAATTCGATCCGAT